TCTCCCGGCCTTCCTGGGGCCAGGGACGGCCTTCGTGGGGCTTCCCTGCACTCCCGCCGGCCTTGCAGGTCCACCGCCGGACCCCTCATGGGGCTCGGCAGTGGAGCTGCAAGGCTGCCGGCGGCGGCCGGGACCATTGGGGGCGGGGTGTGTGGCCTTATGACACACTTCCGGTGATGTCAGGGGGTGTGGCCTTATGACACACTTCTGGTGATGTCAGGGGGTGTGGCCTTATGACACACTTCTGGTGATGTCAGGGGGTGTGGCATATGCTAATGAGTTATGCTAATGAGTTCCCCTAGCTCTTTTTCTACGAAACGACCCCTGATCTAGTCCAGCATCCTGTCTCACACAGTGGCCTCAGCCAGTTCCTCTGGAGGGCCAACAACAGGGAACAGAGGTCAAGGCCTTTCCCTGATGTTGCCTCCTGGCTCTGGGATTCAGAGGTTTAGTGCCTCTGAATGTCGAGATTCCATTTAGTCACCATGGCTAGTAGCCACTGATAGACCTCTCCTCCACGAATCTGTCTAATCCCCTTTTAAAGCCCTCTATGCCTGTGGCCATAACTACATCCTCTGGCAGCAAATTCCAGATTTTAATCACTCTCTGGGTAAAAAAAGTATTTCCTTTTGTCCATCTTGAATCAACTGTTCATCAATTTCATTGGATGCCCTCGAATTCTAGTATTTTGGGAGAGGGAGGAAGAATTCTCTTTCTCATCTCTCTCCACCCCATGCATAATTTTGTAAACATCTATCATGTTCCTCCTTAGTCGTCTCTTTTCTAAACTGAAAAGTCCCAGACTCGTCAGCCTTTCCTCATAGGGAAGGTGCTCCAACCAATGCTCCCTCTAAGCTGTGGAGTCTTGTGAGCAAAAAATCTACCTTGTGAGCGACTGGCATTAAAGTTGTGAGCGAGCGATTTGGCTCCTGCATAAATTAGTTTGCTCTGGAGCCCTCCTTCCTGAGCTAAGACAAAAATGTGTGAGCCAGAGGCTAGAAAACTGTGAGCTAGCTCACACTAACTCAGCTTAGAGGGAACACTGGCTCCAACCCCCTCATCGTCTTGGTTGCCCTCCTCTGCACTCTACCCAGCTCTGCAGTGTCCTTTTGGATATACGGGGACCAGAACTGTACACAGTATTCCGAATGAGGCCGCACCATAGATCTATACAAGGCTCATTATAATATTGGCTGTTTTATTTTCAGTTCCTAACATAGAGTTTGCCTTTTTCACTGTTGTAGCATCCTTGGTCGACACTTCCATGAGCTATCTATATGACCCCAAGATCTTTTTCCCTCTCAGACTCAGCAAGTTCAGACCCCATTAGCCCATAGTGGAATTTGGGAATTTTTTTTGGTCACCATTCATAGAATTGGAAAGGACCTCCAGGGTCATCTAATCCAACCCCCTGCGCAATGAAGGAAATTCACAAATACCTCCTCCCCACACACCCCAGTGACCGCTGCTCCACACCCAGAAGAAAAAAAACCTCTCCAGGTTATTCACTATAGCCTGGTATCATCAGCACTGAAATGGGTCTATCTTTAACTGGGACAGCTGGGGGCCAAAGTGTGCTCCACCCACTGAGCAAGGTCCCCTCCTTTCTCAGAGTCTGACCTCTCTTTCCCCCAAGGCCTGAGCTCATCTGGCAACTGAATGCAGGACTTCCTGAGAGCCAGTTTGGTGTAGTGGTTAAGTGCGTGGACTCTAATCTGGGAGAACCGAGTTTGATTCCCCACTCCTCCACTTACACCTGCTGATGTGACCTTGGGTCAATCACAAGCTCTGGCACAGCTGTCCTTGAAAAAGAGCAGTTTGTGTCGGAGCTCTCTCAGCCCCACCCACCTCACAGGGTGTCTGTTGTGGGGAGGGGAAGGGAGAGGAGTTTGTAAGCCGCTCTGAGACTCCAAGTGAAGGGCGGGGTATGAATCCAATCTCCTCTTCTTCTCCTCCTGCATTGCAGGTATTATTCAGACTCTTAGTCCAGCAAGGCTGATCCTCTCACGGGGGATTCCTCTGCTCCACAGGTACTTGCCTACGAACAGGGAGAAGTGGTGGAGAGCGTCTCCCACTATACAGGCCGGGTGGCCTTTGCCTTCTCACCGACCCAGAGTGCCACCATCGTCCTGAATGACACGCGCAGCTCAGACAGCGGCTCTTACCAATGCAGCGTGATGAACCCACCAGATACCGCCACACCCAACATTGGGGTCATCCGGCTCACTGTGTTTGGTAGGATTGCAATCCCCTGTATAGGGCTGCCAGGTTCGGGTTGGGAAATACCTGGAGATTTGGGGGGGGGAGCCTGAGGGGAGTGGGGCTCAGGAAGGGGAGGGACTTCAATAGGATGTAATGCCATAGAGTTCACCTTCCAGAGCAGCTATTTTTTTTTCTGTTGCCTTGAGATCAGCTCTAATAGCAGGAGATCTTTAGCCACCATCTGGAGGTTGGCAGCCCTACCTCTGTAGTCTTCAGCTGCCCCGGAAATGGAAGACTATGCTTATTGCACCTCTTCAGGCTCTCTGATATGGGGAACCTGCATGGTGTGAGAACATAAGGTCAGAGCCAAGCGTTCCACTGATGCACTGACCCCAATCCTAGCTCAGCGCGTTCGAGTAGATTTTTTCTTAACCATGCTTTTCATGGTGGGAATACATGTGACAAGGAAACACAGAGATTCCCCAGTCCTGTGTTTCTCTTGCAAAACTAACAGTTGGGGAGAACAATAGGTAGCTGAGGGATATTTTGAACTTGTATATACCATTCAGGTCTAAAACCAGAAAGGAAGACTAGGGGAGGGTGGGCTAATGGGCGTGGAAAAAGTGGGGAGGGGGAAAGGTGGGTGGGCTAGATTCACTGCGAAGCAAAAGGAAGATCCTGGGATTCAAGGATCGCTCTGAAGCGGAGCGAATCGGTGGAAACTCTGGGCCAGAAGCCGGCTGCGGATCAAATGGTGTGAAATTGACGAGATGCACCGGAAAAAACAGAGGGTTGACCGTGGGCCAAAGTCTTGTGTGAAATTGCCCTAGGATTTTTCACATGCACTATCAAGAAAAAAACTGGGGTGGGGGATATAAATTCAAGCACAAGTTACAGTAATAAAGAATCTTTTTTGTCTTAACATTCTGGGTTGTCCTCCTTTCAAACCAATATGGGTAAATCCACCTTGGGAGGGAGAAAAACATCCGTGGGAAAAGCTGCAAGGGAGAATTGGCCAGGACAGGAGAAGTTAAGCTCCTGTGCATATGATAAGTGCCATCGAGTTGCTCCTGATTTATGGCAATCCTATGAATTACTGACCTCCAAAATGTCCTGTCATTAACAGCCTTGCTCAGGTCTTGCAAACTAAGGGCTGTCAGGCTTCCTCGACGGAGTCAATCCTACTACCCACCAATTCTCCTCTTCTACCCAAAGGGTCGGACAACTCCTCTCTCTTTGAGAACAACAAAAGATACTGGAGGAGGGCAGAAGGGGAAGATGTGCTAGGCTGCTGTTTGCCCTGTGACTGCTGCAGGGCGGAGGCAAGTAGCCCTCGTCCCTGGCCTTCCTCAGAAATGACACCGTAACGAAATGGAAAAAGACACACATTCTTGGCTTCCGTGACTTCTTGTCCACCCCCCCACACGTTTGTACATTTATTATGTAGATGAGCTCTTGCAAAGCATTCATGGAGCAGCTCAGCTCTTGCCAAGCTGATCTTACTTGTTCTGATTATTGCCGCTTAGGATGTAGCTGTGGAGAAACAGTCTCTTCATGATACATTCTTGCCTCTGAGAGGGGTAAGATGGCAGATCTGTCGTTGCAGCAGCAAGCACCATTCAAGGCAGGTCCAGGAATGTTATTCTCTGTCCTACAGTGCCACCGTCTAATCCTAGATGTTCCAGTGAAGGCAGTGGAGACGAGGGAGGCACTCTTCAGTTCTCATGCACAGTTGATGAAGGAACGCCCGCACCTGCTTTTGCTTGGGAGAAGATTCCGCCCACCACACAGCCCTTGGTGACCCGTTACGAAGGTATCAAGAATATTGGTGGGGTGGGGCCAGGAGGAGATCTTCATTGTGAGACAATTGGTTGTCCTAGTAGCAGGAAGCCCAGATAAGGACTCAAGAGCAATGGCGGACCTACATTGTTGGGACCCTGAAGCTTGAACTGTTTTGGGGGGCCCTTCTCAACCAGCAACAACAGGGCAATAGTGCTGCAAGCCCCCGATAAATTTTTGAAATTTGACCATATGAAATGTGTTAGATCACCGCTAACATAGATCCGGAGAGTGATTTCAGCAAAGGTGAACAGCTTTATTGAAGGTACAAACAAGCGCTTGAAAGAAGTCATAACCAGAACAAGTCAACATTGGGAGCTAGGCTCCTTTTAAACATTCCCAGGCTAACGTAGCCACGCCTCTGTACAATAAACAACCAATGAGGTTGAGTGGATAAAGTCCAATGAGAGTTCTTCCCTCGCAGGGACTAGGTGCAGTTCTGATTGGTCGTTGTTGAGGAGCGACCAATAGCACGTTAGCTCGGAGGAGCCTTCCTCTGGCTCGAGCTTAACATGGGGAGTCAATGCGGCGATTCACGTAAGCCGTTTCAATATACTACAAAATGGGTATTAGAGCATACTCTAAGGTCAATATTAAGCACTTCAACCCATTGGCTTATGATTCTGTCACTAAAATAGCCTTATTTTAATAAGAAACACTTTTTAAAACTCCATCAATTTTGTTGAAAAATTCACTCATTAAAAAAAGTTGCTCCAGGGCCCCTCCAGGATTAGGGGCTCCAGGGTCCATTAGTTTCATAGTAGATCTGCCCCTGCACGAGTCTTGCTCTTGAGACAGAGTCCAGCCTGCAGGGACCCGCTGAGTGACCCTGGGACATCCAGGAATACTGCCTGACAGCGCTTGATGACCTCCCCCCATCTAGTCAGGGCAGCTGAGCCTCAGATATCCTGCCACTGTATTTGTAAGTGCCAGAGAGTGATCTCTGGTAATTTATCTAATCCTTTTGAAAGAGGATGACAAACCCTGCTGGATCGTACCAAGGTTCTCTAAGCTATTAATTTTGTTCTCAAATGCTGTCTAGCCAGATGCCTCAGAAAAATGCTCCAGGTAAGTGTGCATTGTCCCCAGCATCTGGTACTTAGAGGCAGTGCTTGCATTATGGGGGGGGGGGAGTAGGAGGCTCTTAATAGTATCTACTGGCCCTTGAGTCTCATCTTGTTTAGCCCCTCTGTTAAAATTGCATAGAACGTTACATCTGTGTGCAGTCTGTGGCTTCTGAGCACGGAGTCTATGCATGTACAAAGTGTATACACAAAGACTCCCTTCCCCTTAAAATTTGGAAAAGCTGCACTCCCCATGACAGGGGCACAGCTTATAAGTACACAGTATCTACACACATAGACTTCTCCTTGAAAAGAGGGGGGATATTATACCCCTTGGCAGCATTCCCTCTAAGATGAGTTAGTGTGAGCTAGCTCACAGTTTTTTTAGCCTCCAGCGCATTCATTTTTGTCTTAGCTGAGGAAGGATGGCTCCAGAGCAAACTAATTTATGCAGTAGCCAGATTGCTGGCTCACAACTTTAATGCCAGTAGCTCACAAAGTAGAATTTTTACTTACAAGACTCCATAGCTTAGAAACAGCATTGCCCCCTGGAGCTTTTAAAAACAGTGGCCTATCACAAGCAGTAGTGGTGTTGTGTACCCAGGGAAGTCCGCGCACGTGGTCGGGTCAACATGCGGTCAGGCGAAGGACCAGAGCTTCGCCTCTAGCGACAATAGCTTAAACGGATCCTAGCGTGCACCTATCTGGGGGCTAGGATCCTAGGAATGACCTGTGGGTCTAGGGGTGCACTGTAGATATCCAATCACGAGTGTGGGTGTGTGTATGGGTGTAGTGTAAATTGGGAATATAAGCTGGCCTGCGAGCTGGTAAAATCCATCTCAAGAATGACTGTAGATAAAGTATGAGCTGAAATCACTTCTCCGTGCATTCAGTCTCAGTACTTTATAAGTGGGACAGGCCCTTCCTGAGCCACTTGTAGTTTAATCACTGCCCAGAGGTAAAACATGAATGCTTCGCTCGTAGGTTATCTTGGTTCATAGCGGCTGCTGGACTTGTCCGCCATGATTTTTTAAGATCCTTTACAAGAATTGCCTTGATGGATCTGACTGAGGCCCTTTCTGCACTCGTTTTTTGCCTCGGTTTCTGAGCGCATCCTAGTCTTCCATTCTGCATTCCCTCCCACTTTCACTTCGTTTGTGTTGGGGCTTTTTCTTGTTTTGCATTTGTTTTACAGGAATCTGCATTCAGACCGCTTCCAGCACACTGTTGCCCCGCAGCTACCAAAACCCCTTTTGCTGCGATTCTTTGTTCTTGTTAATTGCTCATCCTTTCTAAAGCAGAACTGTTTCTGTGGGCATTTGAGTGCAACCCACTGCCCTCTCCTGTTTCCGCCTCTCTCTTTAGGTTGACGCTCCCTCCCCGTTCTGTTTTCTTTCCCTCCTTCTCCAAAGACAAAAGAGGGTGTGTCCTCCCATTCAGGCAAACTTTTTAAAAGCCAGAGCGAGCATAGGAAGGGATCAGTAAATATAAAGGACTAGGGGATTCCCTGCTCCAAAATGTGTCAGTCTTGCACGTGTGGGCCTGGATTTCCCCCTCCCTTCCCTTTCTTTTTTGCAGAATCAGGGATGGAGGGAGGGGTTGGGTCTTCAGTTAAAAGTTCTGAAAGACGTTTGCCTTTCTCTTCATCTTAGACAAAACAGCCAGTTAGTTCAAAAAAGATGCAGAATGCATACAGAATATACAAATAAATAAACCTGAGGGGGGAAAGCTAGCGCAGAGGGAATGCGTGCAACTGCAAAGTCAGCCCTTAACGCTTGACTGCTCAGATCCTCCGGAGCAAGTTGTCAGTGCAGAAGGGGCCTGAGACTCCATCTAGTTCTACATCTTGGCTCTAGTAGTGGCCAAGGCATGCATACAGCAGGTCTTCCTAGTTGCTTACCCCCAGCAACTTGTATTCAGAAATATACTGTCCTTGAATATGGATAAGCAGCAACTTGGACACCCTTTAGGGCATATTCTGGCTCAGACTCTGCTGAATTAGACAGCAAAAATCACCAATGCAAGGCAGCCTCAATTCCTCCTGTTCATCCAGCCGAGGTTCAGAGGGGTAAGTCCAAACAAAACATCCATGACAAAAATAACAAGGAGTCAATAAAGATATATATGCAAAATTGTTTACTATAATAATTATAATTCTGTGGAAAACTCCCTTCTTTTATCGCTCACACACAATGAATTTTGTGCAATAAAAATATCCGTTTCTCAAAGATTGCTTTATTTGAGCGTGTAGCAATTACAGTTCTTATCCATTTCCACTTACCAACTCTTGAAATATCAGTCAACATGGGATGTTTATTTCAAGCGTTGATAAGTGGAAATTGATAAGAATTGTAATAACTACATGCTCAGATAAAGCAATCTTTGAGAAACGGATATTTTTATTGCACAGAATTCGTTGCATGTGAGCGATAAAAGAAGCATTTCCCCCCCACAGAATTATAATTATAGTAAACAATTACGCATATATATATATTTATCGACTCTTCGTTATTTTTGTCATGGCTATTCTGTTTGGATTTCCATCTCCTCCCGTGATCTCTCACTTTTGGCTTCGAGGTTCAGAGGGGGGCTGTTGGCCAACTGTGGCAAGGAAGAGGCGTGCTTGGCCGTCCTAACGCTCTGCTTGCTTTCCCTTTGGATCTTGCATTCCCTGTTCTCATGCGGGGCAGACGACCACCACATCTTCCTGACCTTCCACAACCTGACGACAGAGGCCTCTGGGCTTTACCGCTGCACGGCCTCCAATATGCTGGGCTCCGTCTCCTGCTCCTTGGAGCTGCGAGTACATGGTGGTGAGTATCCTGGTACTGACAAAAAAGCCAGTTTGGTGTAGTGGTTAGGAGCACAGACTCTAATCTGGAAGGACCAGGTTTGATTCCCCACTCCTCCACATGTAGTTGCTGGGTGACCTTGGGCCAGTCAAAGTTCTCTCAGAGCTGTTCTGGAAAGAGCAGTTCTTGAAAGAGCTCTCACAAGGTGTCTGTTGTGGAGTGGGGTGGGGAAGGGAAAGGAGATTGTAAGCTGCTCTGAGACTCCTTTCGGTGTGAAGGGTAGGGCATAAATCCAATTTCTCCTCCTCCTGCTCGGCAAGCTGAACCTACCCTTTTAACAGCAATTGACCAAATACTCACATAGTATGGCCTTATTGGGGACTGTATTATTTTGGGCAGCGGCAGCAGGACTGCATTGCCAAGACCTCTTTCCTAGTACACTTTAAAAAAAACCCAACAACCTTGCAACAAAACCTCTCCCCCCAATTGCATGCTGATAGCTATTCCTTCAGGGGATACCAGGGGATTCGCAGAGAGTAGGTCAGTCCACTTTGCTCCACTGCCCCAAAATGTCTCTTGACCCTGACACCACATCCACAGAGATGTACGTTCAGTACAGTCTAAAGGGGGGGGGGATAGGAATGCCTTATTTCCAAGTCAGACCACTGGTCCATCTAGCACAGTATTGTCCGCTCGGGCTGGCGGCAACTCTCTACAGAGACAAGAAGAGAAGAGTCTTTCCCAGCACCCATGCCAATCCCAGGGAGCCAGTTTGGTGTAGTGGTTAAGTGCGCAGACTCTAATCTGGGAGAACCGGGTTTGATTCCCCACTCCTCCACTTTCACCTGCTGGCTGACCTTGGGCAAGCCGTAGTTCTGGCACAGCTGTTCTTGAAAAAGAGCAGTTTCTGTCAGAGCTCTCTCAGCCCCACCGACCTCACAGGGTGTCTGTTGTGGGGAGGGGAAGGGAAAGGAGTTTGTAAGCCACTCTGAGACTCCTTTGGGTAGTGAAGGGCGGGGCATAAATCCAATCTCTTCTCTTCTTCTCTTCTAAACCTGTTGTGTAGTAGGTTGGATGCATCAAATGATCAGGAGACATAGTGATATCCAGCACATGTTTACTAGCACACAACATAACACACAAATACCGGCCATAGGCCCAACTATATACCATCTCTGTGGGCCACTCACAGGTCCCATTGGTGGGTTTAAACTTCCCGCCAAGGTTCCTATTGGTGACCGCTAGAGGTTTCAGGATCCTAGTCCCTATTGTCTCTATGGATCCAAGCTCCTGTAAAATATGCTGCTGCCTAGTGACGGTCAACAGACATAACAAAACCCTTACTTGTTTTGCATTAAAAAAAAAAAAACACGGGCTCTACTCCCTTCCCAGTGAAACCACCTGAAGTCAGACTGTTCATCCAGCCGTCCCAGTGTGTCTACTCTGGCTGGTAGCAGCTCCTCTACAAGACCTTGGGAAAGGTGTTTGGCCATTCTTGCTATGTGTGAGACCCTTGGAAACTCAAGCTGCAACCTTTAGCGTGCAAGACAGACACTCTGCCATTACCTCTCCCTGCTGCATAGCGGCATAATCTAAATCTGTATCAAAGCGATTTGATACTTGCAATCTGTTTCACTTTAGAGAAGGGTTCCCAGCCTATGGGCGCCAGTGGGGGCATTTACCCAGCAAAGCTTCTCCTGGGCAGGTTTTTTTTTTAAATGTTGCTGTGGAAGCAGCTGCCACCACAGCACATAGATTTTACTTGTGTGATTGAAAATAAGCCACAGCAGCCATGACAACGCAGCCACTTTGTGGTTGGCTCCGCCTCCAGTGGCAGTCATTCTCTGGCTGTGCCCACCATCCTGTGTCAGACTTCCAAAGGCGCCCATATGCTGATAAAAGCTGGGGACCCCTGCTCTAGAGGAACCACATCACCACTGACGCAGCATGTAAGAGCAAAACCCGAGGCTTACACCGGCCCCTGCCTCAACCTTTAATTCCTTCCAGAGCCAGTTTGGTGTAGTGGTTAAGAGCGCGGACTCTAATCCGGGAGAACCGGGTTTGATTCCCCACTCCTTCACATGCAGCTGCTGGTGTGACATTGGGTCAGTCACAAGTTTTCTCAGAGCTGTTCTCTCAACTGCAGTCCTTGAAAGAGCTCTCTCAGCCCCAACTACCTCACAGGGTGTTTGTTGTGGGGAGGGGAAGGGGAAGGGAAAGAAGACCGTAAGCCACTCTGAGACTCCCAAGCGAAGGGCAGGGTATACATCCAATCTCCTCTTCTTCTTCCCTTCCCAGTACTAAGATTCCACCTTCCATTCATGAACTAGTACACAGAGGGCCTGTCGTGCACTACCATAGAACTACTAATAACTACGCTGTAGGGAAGAGGCCTTTTAGCTCAGAGGGTATATAGATCTTCCCCTGAGGCACAGCACTTTAAAAAAAACGATGAACTCATTGGACCTGTTACCTAGCAGCATCCTTTGCAGAGGAAAGCTTAATAGTCGTGTAGGAATTTGAATTGCGTGTGGCAGGGAGAATGCACAGCACCAACCAGAAGTCTCACTTCTCCCATTGTATCTGGAGTCAAGGTAGCACACACACGGAACGGCAATCAGGAAATCCCCAGTGCAAAACCTACCAGGTAGCCTTGGTCAAGACCCGACACCCCCCCACACACACACACTTGTGCTTTAAACACTTAAAAGCCATATAGATTATGGATTTAGATCTGGAAGTGGGTTTTTTTTAAAAGGAAGATTTGTGTGCTATATACCCACAGAACGGAGGCTGTCTTTCCAAATTCCATCCCCTACACAGCTCTTACAAGCCAACGTAGTGTAGAGATTAAAAATACTGACCTGAAATCTAGGAGACCCAGGTACCAGACCCTGCTCTGGCCCGAAGTAAACTGAACTGGCCCCACACATTTCAGCCCAACCTAACTCAAAAGGCTGTTCAAAGATAAAGTGAAGCAGAACCACATTTTTAGTTCATTTAGGGAAGGACAAATACACACACTAGAAAGATACACGAAGCCCTCCGCCCCTCCTTTGCTCTGAGCCAACTACAGTATATATACATACAAATACAGTTAAGTTCAACTCATACTTGTGTACAAAACACTCAACAGTCAAAAACAACAATCTCTGTCGGAACAGTACAAACAATAGAACAAAGGAGAGAAAAATGTCCAGTGAAACTTTCCAGATCTGTGTAAATAGATCACAAGGGCACGGATGTATTACATCCCTCATTGCGTCCTAAAAGACACCTCTCTCCACAAGTAAGAAACTGTTCAGCTTCTCCACATCAGTTCATTCTAATGGGAAGCCACTAGAAGTTTTTACAAAAGTTTTAACAAAAGGGGCATGTAGCGTAATGTTTTTAGTCGGGAGGAAAAACCTGCAGTCAAAATGAAAGCCGCCAACAAACACCTCATACACAAGTATGAGTCGAGCCTAACTGTATTTGTATGTATATCTACTGTTGATTGTTGTTGGCTCCTTATGTACGCTATTTGAATTTGAGCCACCTACAGCCGTTGTTCTGCCTTGCAGGCTAAGGTGACCTGCAGAGGATAGCTCAAGATGGTGGCACCAGTTCTAACTTCAGCACTGTTGCATTTCAGCCCCTCGCAGCAGCACCTCCCTGGTGGTGGGGATTACCCTCATGCTCATCATGGGCCTCGTTCTGCTTACCCTCTTTGCTCTGGTCCTGTGGCTACATCGTCACAGCTGGAACAAGTGGGAAGAGGACGACTCGTACAACGAAATCAGGTAAGCCGGCAGGGCGGCCAACCAGATGCGTATTGGCATTCCTTTCCTTGCGCACTCATCTGTGATGGGAGATGCATCTGCGTTGGAGATCATGCCCCAATTAGGAGTTCCAGTGTTTATACCTGCATTATGTTTAGTGTTACTAAATGCTGCAGTTTGCAATTTAAGCTCTCCAAGAGCTGAGCCTGCCAAAGCAAAGTGCTGTAAAAGGTAAGAGTGGAGTAGAATAAGACTTTACAAACCCGAGATACTACCCAAGAGCAAAGCACATGGGACAACCCCAAATTTAATTTTATGCACACATCATTATAGTTTATTCTGAATGGTCAGATGGACGTGGCTGCAAGAGGAGATTTTACTTATATAAATTCAAGTGGGAAGAGTGGAATAAGATTATTTGGTGGTGTTGCTAGTTATGCTAGATTACAGTCTAAAAAGTCCGAGGGTTGAAGATTTTCAGAATGGAGATAACCTTCTATGATGCCTCACCACTGAAACACCATGTTTTAGTTATCTGAGAGAATGCTGTAATGTAGAACTTGCTCAGGAATGGAATATACTCAAACCCTTAAATCAAACAGCAGTCATCAACACTCTGCTTTAGAGAAAGCATAAACTCAGAACAGTGTAGGAGTTTACAGTCAAGAATTTTTAGATCCAGATCCATTGATACCGTTAGAGGGGCTGACGGAGCTGTAAGAAATGTTCTTACCTACTTGAACTTGCTAGCATATTACTATCCCTGATAACTTAATCAGAAAGAATCAGTGGTTTGATAAATATTGCAAGGATAGATCTTGGATCCCGCGTAAGGATCACACACAGAACCATGGATTTTCCCTGCTTTGCCCCCACACCCCAGCGGTTCTATCAAATCCTGGTAATGTTTATTCCTGGGGTCACAGGACAGATGTAGAATAACAGTCACATGGTGGAGTGGAGGGAAGGGTGAAATCAAAATGCTTTTAAATGCTAATTTGAACTAGAACTTTGATTACTTTGGATATGCGTTGCAAAGCTCTTGAATTTAAATCAGGATCGTCTAGCATAGCAGCCACTTAACTGCAGTTTTAATGCCTTTATCATAGCTGACCATCCCTTCCTCTTTACCACCACCCCATGCATCCCGCACTACAGAGCCGGTTCCAGGTTTGGGGGAGTGCCCAGGACCCCCCCTCCTCTTGGGCACCACCAGGACCCCCCACTCATGCCTTCCTTCCAGCCCATCCACATCCCCACCCACCCGTGCTTCCTTCTTTCCTCCTCCTGCCCATCCTTTCCCCAACAGTGCTGGGTGTCGTATGCAGATAGGAACGCCCACCACTGTGCCTGTCAGGAGTGCCACCATTGTATACCACCCTGTAGGTCCTTCCCTAGCAGAATGTGCTTTGGGGGGGCACTGCAGCGATGGGCCTTAACCAGACACGTTGGGTCCCGGCAGCTGCCCTACCTCAGGGTATACTCACACCAGGCCTGCTACATTAGACTAGATCACAACCTACAAACAGAAGACTGACAACCTAAGAATCATACCATTCACCTCTTAGTACTGGAATCTGTGCTTCAGGGGGAAATGCTCATGCAGAATATGTGACAGCATGAATCCCAGATGCCACAAATGTGTCTAAATCTTCGCCATCTCCCCCACCGCAGACTCGACAATCTCTCATTGGGACGACTGATTGTTACCAAGAGCCCCCCTGGGGACCTTTCCGCATCCAGCCCCGCGACCCAGCCACTCTGGATCTTCACGAGCTCCACCCCCAACACCACCTATGCCCATCGTGAGTGGAGACCCCAGCCCGGGACTGCGAGCCAGGTCACGCTTCCAGGAGGGCTGAGACAGCCCCCATCGGCACACCGGGGAAGGCTGAGAAGTGGCAGCCTCTATGAGCAACACGGATCCTCATCCGGAAGCGAGGAAGAGAAGCAGCCCTTGCCCGGCCCCTCCCAGAAGCCTACAGGATTCCTGGTGTAGCAGCAGCCACAAAACCTCCATGTGTGAACAGAAGCATTTAATCTGAGCCAGCCTATGGCTTTGGGAAGCTGGGATTTGTTCCCAGGAGAATCCTGCCTGCAAACTCAACGTACTGATGGCTACGTGGGGGCTCTGTGCTGTGTAAAGAAAAATACACCGTTAACCTGGAACATTTTGCTGAATGCCGTCTGACTGCAGGAGTTGGAACGGGTTAGGATAACAAACATGAGACGGTAGAAAGTTCTTGTTATTTTGAGCACGTGGCTCCCAAAGTCAGTCTCCAGCATCTTCTTAAAATGGAGGGTAAAGCAGGTACTGGGAAAGCCCCCCAAGGCTGCTAGCCTGAGAAAGTGACCCCGGACAGATGAGCGGATGGTCACACCCACTTAGGGTAGGCAGGTTTCAGGGCACATAATAGGACAGTAGCAGAGGATTTGCTAGAAGTCCCAGGTTCAATCCCTGGCATCTCCAGTGGGAGGCTCTAAGCCAGAAGGCTTTCTCTGCCTGAGACCTACCGCCAACTGAAGTGAGTTAGAACGAACCAATGGGTCTGTTTTTTTAAAAAAAGGAAGTCTTCATGTGATTAAAAAGCTACTCACCCAAGGATACTTAAATAAAAAGTTTTGTGATGCCTCCATGCAAAAAGGTATCCTTTTTAATACGTTGTCAGAGGCTTTCACGGCCGGAGTTCATTAGCTGCTGTAGATTTTCCAGGTTGTGTGGCTGTGGTCTTGGCATTGTAGAGACTGACGTTTCGCCAGTATCTGTGACTGGCATCCTCAGAGGTATAACAAAGAAAGAAGGAGTACTCTTCTCACCTTGACACAGAGAGTACTCCATCTTTCTGTGTTATACCTCTGAGGATGCCAGTCACAGCTACTGGCGAAACGTCAGGTCTACAATGCCAAGACCACGGCCACACAACCCGTAAAATCTACAGCAAGAAATCCTGTTCCTGGGTGTTCTCTCAAGCTATGCCTCTGCTTCTTTTAAAACCCAGATAAGCTTCCGGGAGAGAATGCATGAGAAATCTCCCCCTTTCGTGAACCCGCAGGGAGAGGAGAGGCCGGCTTTAGACTTCTCGAAAGCAAAAAGCCTAAATGGCCGAGGCCGGAGATCCACATCCTCATTCTGGTTCGGGGGTGTTGCGGCGGCCTCCGCCCGAGCGTGAGAGCAGAGGCCATCCTTCCTTCCTCCCATGCCCTGTGACCTCTGGCCCTATGAGCCAAACCAGGCCGACCTGCAGCCACCGAGGAGGAACAGAACACCCACAAGTGCTTTTCCATTACACTTGTTTTAATTTAGAAATTTTAGTTTTTGCTTTTTAAAAAAAAGAGAGACAGAGAGGAAGAAGTGAATCGACTACATCGGTATCCCAAAGTGCCTCCGAGAGGATAACGGCTTCTGCTTCTGGCGCACTCACCTCCTTTCGCACTTGGCTTCCATGGTTCAAGGCTGAAGTTAAATCATCTGACTGGGGGGGGGGGCGGGTTCAGGTCAAGGAGGGGGAGGATACGGAAGAGGCGCGGCGCGTTCCCAGCACCAACCTGGGTTCTCTGAGGATGGGGAGGGCCCCGCTTCCCTGTCGTGGCCTTCCAGCAGTGAGGGTAGAGGAGACTAACAGGCAGCGCCCCGGCTGCAGTCTTCTGTGCTCAGAAGGGTTAAGCCCAGGCCAGGCGGGAGGAGAGGCCCAGAGAGAGCCATAAAGCGGGGGCTGGAGAGATGGCGGTGAGTCAGCTAGGCCATGAGCTCAACTGTCAGGATCCGCTCCACAGCGTAAATAGAATCAAGTGACTAGAAGTTTTGGAAATTATTTGGGGGTGGGGTGGGGGGCTGGGAACACGTGTGGGGGACGTGCAACGTGACTATGTGACTTTGCATGCATGCGCAGATGTGCCAGGTAGTTTGAGTGCCCAGATGTGCTGCCGCCGCTGCTCAGCAAAAGAAGGAAAAGGCAGGGGAATGAGTGGTGAGACCAAAGGACACGACCCGGGAACCAATTTGGCTATGAAACAAGGAAGTACGTTTGTCAAGAGGCAGCATCTGGCTCGAAGGGGGCCAGCCGAGGGGGGGTGAGGCGGAGTCCCAAGTTCAGTCCCTGGTCCCTGAGCGATTTCCGCTGCTTTCTGGTTCTGCTCAACAGAGTGGGAGCCTGGCTTGGAAGCACTGGGGGTGGGGAGGGGCGGGGGGATCCCCCATCTCCTGCGGTGCCGAAGAGCGTGGTGGTCTGAGCTGCAGGGTCAGTGGGCGTCCTTGATGATGATCTCCACACCATGCTGACGCAGCTGCGCTCGCAAGATCAGGTTCTTGTTTTTCAGGTCTTCAACCTGCCCAGCGGGGAGACGAATGGAGAAAAGGGCAAGTAGGTAGGCCGCGGCTGGACAAGGAGAGGAAGGGGTGCCACTCCATCCCCCTTCCCCCAATTAAGCACTGGGTATGTCAAAGCTCTGTAGCCACAGAAGACAGATCGTTGGGGGGGGGGCAGTCCTGGCCTTAAAGCACACCATCTAGCATGTTAAATCACCACATTCACAAAGGGGGGAAAGGGCTCCCGTGCCTTTTAAGAACACAAACCGGGGGGGGGAGCCGACGGGGCTGGTGGGGGGGGACTTTTTTTGGCATGTGCAGCAAGGAAGAAATATACAGAAGACCACTGCACCCAAATCCCTAGATGCTATTTTAGAACTGCCACAGATACTCATGAGGGGCACATGGTTAATTCCCCCCCTCCCCTTTCTCACAGACCCTGCCTGGCTGCCCCGAGAACTCCATTGTTACCTGCTGTCTCAAAACTTCGTTGTCCATCTGCAGCTGTTCGAGCCCTTGAAGCTCCTCCGACAGTCGGAGGTTACTCTGCCTCAGCTCCTGAATGTAGTCACAGGCTTTGGACAGGATCCCACCTTTACTCTGCAGAGAAAACAGAAAATCCGCTGGACAAGAGGGAAGTAGCCCGCGGGGGGGGGGGGGGGGGGGAGAAGCGCCTGAGATCCTGCCAGCCCACGGAGCTACTTCCTGGTGGGACAGCCAACTCCTCGGGCTCTGATTCACCCCTCCTTTCCCCTCTCATTGTGGCAACTGATGCAATCACACACAGACACACAAAACTGTTGCCCTGCATTACCTTGCCCTCCTCACAGCTGGAAAATGGCCCAAGCAGCCTCTCTTTTGCCGTGTGCTGCATAGAGGTAAAAACACAGGCCCATTCTAGAAGGACACCTCAGTCATTTTTCAGGACAACAAAAACCTTCAATGCCAGGACTGGTAAAGGAAGCTTAACTACATTTTGATGCTGTTTCCAAATTCTCAGATCCAGAATATGAAATGAGCCAATAAACCATCATTTGGCAAGTTGTCTGAAGGGGGGGGGGGGCGCGGGGGAATCTACTGCCTGGCAAACCAGAATACGTAACCATGGTTTGAACTGGGGGTTTCACGCTAGAAGTCCAAGCTCACTTTAGGTGCCGATTGCCTCCGAAAGCAAGAACAATGGCCCTTAACTATGGCTTGTCAGACATCACATGGAACCAGGATCAGAGGAGCAGACGCATGGTTCTAAACCATGGTCTGCCTGTTGGCACATATAGTAACTCGAGCCATGGTTAGGGTATGCAACTGCAGTTAGTGCAAACTGTGCTCCAGTGCGATGCCTGAACAGGACCCAACATTCTCTAAGTAGCCAGATATGTGGCAGAGGCTGCTCCCTGCCAAGGATAAAAATTTGCCCCATCATCCCTGGCAGGTGGCAGCTACAGTCTCAAATTCTAGGATTCCTAATGTGAGGCTTTTGGACTTAATATTTCCCAGTGCTGAAAGAAACACCAGGAGAAAAAGACTGCCCCATGTCCTTCCCTAAGCTGACCTCCACAACAACAAAAAGGCACTACTTACGTGGGCTTCCTCCATCCTGCACCCCACACCACATGCCAGGTTAACCACCACTGCCTTCATACGCATACTGGGCACGAGGACTCTGACTGCCGAATTTACGAGCCTGATTTGTGGGGCATGCGGTGGCACAGAGAGATGGCCTCCACCCTAGAGGCAGACCAGCCCCAAGCCCCCTTACCTGTCCAGATTTGGTGTTCTCCATTGAACAGTCTGGGATAATCTTGGAGAGCTGCACGATCCAGTTGTTAATCTTGTCCCTGCGCCGACGCTCCACTGGAAGATGGGGAGGGCATCAAATCCAATGGATTGAGAAAGAGGACCTCATAATCCCACTTAACGTGGTTCAGAAGTAACAGCAAGTCAAGGATGACAGCTACATGAATGAACCTGGGACACCCTCAGGTTCACGCTCCACCCCCCCCCCGCCTGTAGCAACCAAACTGTTTTCTGCTTCTGTGGCAAAGCCATACACTGAAACTGGCAAACTATAGTCTGTGCTTTCCCTGCAGATCACCCCATTCCAGGCATTTGGAGTCCTGGCTTGTGCAGAAAGCAGCAGCACTAACAAGGGCCCTATCAGGAATCTAGTTATGCCTCATCAGATCCTGTGCTCCTATCACATCCTCCCTCCCCCCAACTAAAGCTGGCTCCTACATCCTATATTTACATCTGAACTTTACCCCAGAGAGCAAATCAAGAAATCTGCATGATGGGGTCAGGTACGGAAAAGGCAGGTGCTTCTCACACAGCTGGAAAGTGACCACCAGGTTTGCAGAAGAATCCCAAGACTAAAAAAACTGGGAAATTTAACTCCTAAAAAAAAAAAAAACCCAGCAAACCCCTACAGAGAAAGGATGTGCACAGATACACGTTGCACCTGAAATGTGCAAATAATGGTCTATGCACCTGAAAAGGGATATCACAGAGCTTGAAAAGGTGCAGAGAAGAGCATGGTGGCTAGAACAGCTGCCTTGCGAGGATCAGGTAAAGCTGCTTAGGGCTGTTTAGCGTAGGAAAAAAAGGTGAGCAAGGGGAGACATGAGAGAGGGCTATATAGTTATGCCTGGCGTGGAGAGAGAGGTCAGGGAGAGCTTTTCCTCCCTCTCTCATAATACTAGAACCCAGGGCCATCCACTGAAGCTGAAGGGTGGAAGGTCCAGGACAGACAAGGAAGGTACATAAGAACATAAGTACTTCTTCACACAGCACGTAAATTGTGGAACTTGCTGCCACGGGATGTGGAAGGCTTTAAAAGTGGAGAGGACACTTTCATGGAGAATGGGGCTATCCAGGGCTACTAAACACAATGGCTACCAGCCATGACGGATATCTGCTCCCTCCAGCATCAAAGGCCACGTGTCTCTTTATAACACTTGCTGGCGAGCACAGGTGGGAGGATGCTGTCGCAGTCATTCCGCTCGTGGGCTTCCCAGAGCCAGCTGGTCGGCCACTGCGTGAACGGAATGCTGGACTTCTTGGTCTGATCCAGCAGGGCTCTTATGTTCTTATCTTCCCTCCCAAAAATGCTGACTGAGATCTTGGTTGGCATGAAACCAGATATGGAACGCATTTTTAAAGAGGAGGAAAAGGTGGGGCCAGTGGGATAGAGGTGGGATTCTCCCTCTTCTGTTAAGTTCCCTCCTTGTTTGGTCCATAACCCACACAGAGTCGGTGGGGTCAGGGGGACTAAGAGTGCAAAGAGGACTGACCCATTAGGTAGGCAGAGTCACGTCATTAAACGCACACTTCTCCCCTCAGCTCAGTGCTGTTAAATGAGAATGCATCGGCTATTCAATCTCCCCAGAAACCACTGCATGTTCCAAGAGAGGGGCAGGAATCAAAAACGACATGCTCAAAATATTCAACTATCAGGGCACTGGGATCACGGCCAGCCTTTTATTGAAGAAAAGTTGGTTTTATACCCCCGAAGGAGTCTCGGAGTGGCTTACGGACACCTTCCCTTCCTCGCCCTGCAACGGACACCCTGTGAGGTAGGTGGGGCTGAGAGAGTTCTGAGAGAACCGTGACTGGCTCAAGATCACCCAGCCGGCTTCACGTGGAGGAACGGGGGAATCAAGCCCAGTTCTCCAGATTAGGGTTCGCTGCTCTTAACCACTATGCCAAGCTGGCTCTCTCTATACACCAGCTAAACAACTCGCAACTAGGATGGCTGCTCCTCCCTTACCTTCATTGTGTTGCGCTCGACGCTTCTCATCCCGAGTCGTTCGTGGAGCTTCCGACTTTCTGCCGGGAGGGGAGAATAACAAAGTTTCATACTGGTGGACGCCAGAGGCCCACCCGCACACGCTGGGAGAAACTGCCCCAGCTCCAAGCGGCCCATCATTCTCAAGCCAGCCTCCAAGCTGCAGCCAAGCATAACACTGTGCTGCCAACGTTGCTCCCGGGAGGGAGAACGCCAGAGACGCTGGCAGCCAATGCCTAAAGCGGGAGGGGAGGGTGGCTGGGAGACAACAGAGCAGAGGGGCACTCACGGGGAATAGGGGTGAGTCCTGGGGGCGATAGACCTCTGCGTCCCACTCTGCAGAACCTCCTGCGGCGACATCATGACAAAAAATTGCCCTGGACAATTCAGGAGAAGAGAGAGGGTTTCAGGAAGAGAGGCGCACAGCCCTACGGGAGCTGCGGGAAATTACTGAGCATCATAGCTGCCCTAGTTCTCCACCAGGCACAAGAAGCACGTTTCCCTGAACTGCAGAGGAGGGATGTCTGAGGATGACTACTGGTGTCCCCTGGAGTTACTCACTCAGCTTCCGCTCCTAATCTCAAATACGGGTTAGCATTTTGTGCAAGGAAGTGGCCTCAGCAATTCCTTTACACAACCCACCAAGAACTCATCCCACCTTGGTGGGGAGGTTCTGCCAGAAGACTGAGAGCACTCAAGGAAGAAGCATTTCTCCCCCCCCATCCTCTTTGGAGAGCACAGGCTACACCTGCCGGTGAGCTACTGGGGGTAGGCAGAGGAAGCTCCTTTGGCCAATCTCGCATACAAGCCGACCTGACTGACCGGTGCCGGTTGGCGTGGCCTGTCCCAGCAAGGCATCAGAGTTCTGGGTCGTCACCACAGCCGTGGCCGTGGTCCCTGCCCCAGCCGAAGTGCTGGTGTCCGCCACCGCGGTGGCAGGGTAGTACGTATAGTGTGTCTCAGTGGCCGTGGCTTCTGTCTCAACTGCATCTTCGCTGGTGAATGCACCTTGGATGACAGCCTGAGAAGACACAAAGGGGGACAGAGTGAGGTGGCCCCTCCGGTAAAACTGCCGTGGGCCGTTCCAGGTGAAAAGGAGGACAGAAAGAATAGGAGCCTCAAGATGGTCTTTCAGGTGTCTGGCCGACTGCCTCTGGCCCCACCAACCAGCGACCATCGAAACAGAAACTGACATGACAAAAACCTCTGCTTCCATCAGCCGCCATACAACTCTCTTGACCCACCTGCGGTGGTCACTGTTTAATTTGGCAACAGTGACTGAGATGACCTTCCTTCTCCTAGCCACCACCCTTCTCCTTCTGCCCAAGCCAATGACTCGAACAGTGCTCACCTGTGTCATGGACTGCGTCGCAGGATAGCCGCTGATGGCACCGGAGCCCTCCGTCTGGCCGTCCAGCTGCCCTTCCGCTACTTGTATCACCCTATACATCAACTAAAAATAAAAAGACCACAAGGAATTCTTCAGAGCTTCTCTGGAAGCAACCCCAAGAACCCAGGCCCTCTGTAGATACCTCCATCTCAATACTCCTGCCTCATCTCCATGGATTTAGGACTTCCTGCTGCAGTTCTGAAATACTACTGGAAAATTTATGCAAAGGGTAGTTATAATGCCTGGAAGGGAAAACAGAGCCCTACAAAAGGGAAGAAGAAGAAGAAGAGATTGGATTTATACCCCACCCTTCACTACCCAAAGGAGTCTCAGCGCAGCTTACAATCTCCTTTCCCTTCCCCTCCCCACAACAGACACCTTGTGAAGTAGATGGGGCTGACAGAGCTCTTTCGAGGGCTGCTAATGAGAGAACAGCTCTGAGAGAGCTGTGGCTGACCCAAGGTCACACCAGCAACTGCATGTGGAGGGGTGGGGAATCAAACCTGGTTCTCCCAGATTAGAGTCCACACTCCTAACCACTACACCAAAAGGAAATGCAAAGCCATCTTGAGGGTGTGAGGGTCTTTACACGGAGTGACATGATGCATGGTGAAGTGTTGCCTCCTGTCCCCTAGAGGGAACACACCAGTGTCTTCTATAGAACTGGTAAAAGACAGGGTGTGCTTCAGATACCAGTAAAGGGTGGACCAGAGCAAGACAGTCCCAGGATGGAGTGCGCGCGATATGGCCACATTGAATGCAAGGACCTGGCCCCAGCGCCTGAACAAGAGACCTCCTGGGAAAGCTGTGTAAGTCATCTTTAATTCTGCGACAGGAAGAAGGCAGAATACAACAACAACAACCCTTTCCATTTCATTTATTAGCTTCATTGACCCGAGGTCTTAAGCCAAACGACAACAACAATAAACTGTGATTACCGCACCAGCATAGAGACAGGAAGACTGGAGTCATACACAGCCACAGTTCCTTGCGATACTTCCAGTCTATAGCTTACCTGATTTTCCCATTCTAAACTTGCACTGTAAAAGATGTCTAGACATTTTATTTTCATCACAGAGGTAGCTAAACGGGCACTGTCATGTACCCACCGATAATCAGTGGCAATGGCAGCTTTCAATCTATACCACAACTGAGGCCACGCATCGCTGTAGTCATCTCTCCATTTCCATGCACACCATCAAAGATGAAGGAAACGACACCACTCGGCGAGGGAAGCCATCATATCTCACCTGAGCACCCCCATTCTCTGTTCGGAAGACGTATTTGATGTTTGGGTCGGAAAAGGTTGTGGCTGACTGGATGCTGGCAATGGCCACGCTGGTGGGATCTTCACCTGTTGCCACTGCACCTTCAGGAAAGAAGAAAAAGGGATGCCGCAAGGGGGGGGGGAAGGGGAAGGGACACTGTCGCTTATCAGCTGCCTCCATGCTGCCAGCCGAGCCACTGCGGTGGGACAACATCCGTATGGGGGACTCAGCAAGTAGCACAGGGAAAAACCAAGTGTCTTTGCTGTCCAACCCTGCAGTGGCTCAACATTACTTTCCACAGGGACCTTTGCTAATTCTGCATTCATTTAACCCAGTTTCTTCAAGCAGTCTTGATTCTGCCCACATAAGCATATAGGTAGAAAGGCAGGATATAAATTTAATCAACAAAAATGATATTTTTTTTTAGGGGAGGGGTGTGTGGCAGGGGAAGAAGGATGCTACTGGGAAAGGAAGTTGGGGTGTGCGTGTGTGTTAATTGCCTTCGATTTATCGCAACCCTATAAACTAGCAACCTCCAAAACATCCTATCCTTAGCAGCCTCGCTCAGGTCTTGTAAACTGAGGACCCTTGTGGTTTCCTTTATTGAGTCAGCCCATCTCAAGTTGGGTCTTCCCCTTTTCCTGCTGCCTTCAACTTTTCCTAGCATTATTGACTTTGCCAGGGAGTCCTGTCTTCTCATAATTTGTCCAAAGTACAATAGCCTCAGTTTAGTCTTTTCAGCTTCTAGGGAGGAAGGTGGTACTACCCTCCAAAACAGAGGTAAAGGAATGCACTGGGGGAAGAGGCAGAACTGCTCACCTTCCTGGATTTGCACTGTACCTTCTTCTGTCTCTGTAGGTTTTTGCTGTCTGAAAAGGGATAAAGAAACACATGAAAGGGGCAGCCTCTGGAGCCACATCATTTTTAAACGTATTTAAATAGTGAAATATTAGAAGAATCTGTTTTTCTCGCTAGGATGGCCGGGTAAGAAAGGCACATCCTGCCCTTGAAGTAGGACAGAGAATTTTGTCAAGTGAGACTCGCCCCTGTTGAAACCCCCACAGGGGAAAAAACTTTTTAAAAGCGAGAAAAGAATGGCAGCATTAATGTGGTATGAACACTCTGATGATCACAGGAAGAGATGGATCGTACAGATCCTGTTCTGTACGATGGCAGCACTCTGCTGTGGCATGAGGCCCTGCTGTAAGAGGGGAGTTCTTTGCTTAACACACTTTACAGACTTCATCATATTGATCCTGACAACAGCCCTGTAAGGTAGGCTAGCATTATTCTCCCACTGCAGATGAGGCAATGAAGTTGATGGAGACTGGTCTGTCCAAGGCCAACTAGTGAGTATGCAGCTGAGCTGAGATCTGAACCAGGAGCCCTGACGATTGCAGCTCATTTTCTTAGACACTCTGTCAAGAGGAGGCCAGGACACACTTCAATACTTATACTCAGCCTTTCAGACATCCGCTCGTACAGTGGCAGCTTACAAACGATCTGAACCAGGAGCCCTGACGATTGCAGCTCATTTTCTTAGACACTCTGTCAAGAGGAGGCCAGGACACACTTCAATACTTATACTCAGCCTTTCAGACATCCGCTCGTACAGTGGCAGCTTACATAAAATACCAAAAAAAATAAAAATAAAAACAGCAAACAGCAGCAGGGAAAAAAACCCAAACTCAATACAAAAGCCACTGCAGAAAGCAGTAGAGACCATTGGGAGAAAACAAGCCCTCAGGTGCCCAGGGGAACAAGACTGATGTCTAAAACTTAACTGTGATGGTGCCTGATCAACTAGGCGGGCGGTGGTGTTCCTTGAAAAGGGCAGCAATACCGAGAATGCTCCCACCAATCTAAATTCTGCAGATGAGGAGAACTCAAGAGCCTCAAAAGAGGATCAGAGTGCAAGCAAATCCACGCAGGAGGATAACCACTGCCCTTGTGCTGGTTCTCATTTTACAAGTCAAGCTAACCTTGGAAGACCTGGGTTCAAGTCCCTACTGGACCAGGAAGGTCACTGGTGAACCTTGGGCAGCCACCCTCTCATCTGACCTAAGATAAAATGAGGATGAGCTCCTTAGAGAACGAATGGGATAAAAACATGACTGGTCATCTTAGCCTCTTGCTCTCACCCCTTCATTTCTCTCCTCTGTTATACATCAGTAGATCAGACCCTGGATTCAGCTCGTGGGTTCTTCAGAGCCTGGTCATCCAAACCCTGGGAAGGAAAAACAACACAGAAGTATGAAGACGAGGTCTGATAGATAAGGCCTGTTTAGTTGCCTCAACCTCAAAGCAAAGCCCGTTCCAAAACTAAAGGGGTACGTGGGGGAGGGGGTCCATCTGCAATTCTTCAGTTATGACAAGTGTTCACAAATGGTCACTCAGCATTGTTGCAGACATGGCACCTGGAATTCCAGCCACCAGGGTAGAACAGAAGAAAATTTCGCTGATTGGGAACAAAAAATTCCGTAGATCCAGAACTCTCACCCTTTACTACCCCTTCTTTTATTTGTACTGCCTTCCACCCCCTCACTTTGCTGCCCTCTCCCCTCCTGCTCCAAAATTATAATCTTAAATGGGCACAGGCAGAAGCTTCTTTTGTTTCCACAACAAAGGGCCATGTGTATCAGTGTGCACTATACATATATGTATATAATATAAATTAGTCCACAGCAGCAATAATGATGCCCCCTAATGTCAGGGTACATGTATGGATATCTTAGGCAGGATTTAATTTCCACCAGCAACTCTGCCTGCTCACATCAGCCAGACCCCAGGGAGGGAGAAAGAACAGAGCAGCAGCCACCGCAAGATCACAGATTCATCTATGAACCTTGAATCCCACATCTTTCCCCCCATATTAGAAATTTAGGTTTCACCCAAATATTACAGTAAACAGTCTGAGGTTTGGCGGTTTTCCTGGTTATGTTGCGAAGATTTATGTACACCAGTGGCATTGTATAAGCCATTTCCAACAACTGGGGAAAGGGGATATTCATTTATCTACCCAATCTCTCCTGCTCTTCCTCAAAGGAGCTCAGGGCAGCATGCATCATTCTTCCTTCTCCAGAGGGATCAATTGAACAAGAGATACAGCAACGGATGAGGAGGGTAAATAAAAAAGGCCAATGCTATGCTGGGGATTATTAGGAAGGGTATTGAAAACAGATCAGCCAATATCATAATGCCCCTATAGAAATCAATGGCGTGACATTTAGAATACTGTGTACAGTTCTGGTCACCACACCTTAAAAAGGATATTATAGCTTTGAGGGAGAAAGAACAGAGCAGCAGCCACCGCAAGATCACAGATTCATCTATGAACCTTGAATCCCACATCTTCCCCCCCCATATTAGAAATTTAGATTTCACTCAAATATTACAGTAAACGGTCTGAGGTTTGGAGGTTTTCCTGGTTATGTTGTGAAGATTTATGTACACCAGTGGCATCGTATAAGCAATTTCCAACAACTGGGGAAAAGGGATATTCATTTATCTACCCAATCTCTCCTGCTCTTCCTCAAAGGAGCTCAGGGCAGCATGCATCATTCTTCCTTCTCCAGAGGGATCAATTGAACAAGAGATACAGCAACGGATGAGGAGGGTAAATTAAAAAAAAAAAAAAGCCAAATCCTTTGCTGGGGATTATTAGGAAGGGTGAAAACAGATCAGCCAATATCATAATGCCCCTATAGAAATCAATGGCGTGACATTTAGAATACTGTGTACAGTTCTGGTCACCACACCTTAAAAAGGATATTATAGCTTTGGAAAAAGTGCAGAAAAGGGCAACTTGAATGATAAAAGGGCTGGAACACTTTCCCTATGAGGAAAGGGTAAAGCGCTTAGGGCTCTTTAGCTTGGAGAAACGACGGCTGAGGGGTGACACGATTGAGGTTTATAAGATTATGCATGGGATAGAGCAGGTAGAGAAAGAGGTACTTTTCTCCCTTTCTCACAATACAAGAACTCGTGGGCACTCAATGAAATTGCTGAGCAGTCGGGTTAGAACGGATAAAAGGAAGTACTTCTTCTCCCAAAGAGTGATTAACAGATGGAATTCACTGCCACAGGAAGTGGTGGCAGCTACAAGCATGGACGGCTTCAAAAGGGAATTAGGTCCATCAGTGGCTATTAGCCACAAGGTATAGATAGGGGCTCTGGGGCAAGTGATGCTCTGTCTTCTTGGTGCTTGGGGGGGGGTCAACAGTGGGGAGGGCTTCTAATGTCCTGGCCCCACTGGTGGACCTCCTGATGGCACTGGTATTTCTGGCCACTGTGTGACACAGAGTGTTGGACTGGATGGGCCTTTGGCCTGGTCCAACATTGGCGTCTCTTATGTTCTTATGTTCTTAGGACTGTTCTCAATGGAGGAGAGGGTAAAAAAGATGGTAGAAAAGAGCATGTTCCAGGAAAGCTACCCACAAGGCTCTTTTCTTACATTTGACTCTCTTTGTCCTTCCCTTCACCCCCTGAAATCTAGATTAATCTCTTCGGGGCAGTGACCCAGTCCCCCCCCCCCGACCTGGCTAATAGCTTTTTGTCAAGTCCTACGTGGACTGAGTGTAAAAGCAATACTTCCTTCAGTACGTACACACCCATGCTCTGCAGAAGGAGGTGTTTTTGGGTTTTTTCATACCCCATATTTCAACAGAAAGTCCCCAAGACGGTTACCATGGTGATATATTAATAGCAGCCAGTACCAGGTCAAAATTTTGCTGCCGCATTCTGTGCCTCCTGAATGCTCTTCAAAGGCAGCAAGTGCCCTGACACACGTGAATCTGCTTTATCCAGAGTCAGACCAGTGGTCTGTTAAGACCACTGTTATTTACTCTGACTGGCAGGAGCTCTCCAAGGTCTCGGAAGATGGTCTTTTACATCACTTGTTGTTAGCCACTTGGTCGTGTTCGACTCTTGGCAGTTCTATGGGCCAGCTCTCTCCACGTTTTCCGAT